GACCCACACGCCTCCACCCCGGATTTAAACTGGGCGCGACGGGACCGGCGCGCGCTGCGATTGGCCGGTTTGAAAAGGGCTCTGCGAGGTCGTCATGCCCGGTGCATCCTGGGGGTTGTAGTCCGCGCGCCTGGGAGGAGGAGCGTGGCGCGCGTGCGCACTGCCTCGGCGCGCAGATTTGCTGCGCAGGCCAGAGGTCAGGGCAGACCTGGGCGGGGTTTGCTTGGAGCCCCGCTCCTGTCCCTGCAGGTTTAGCATCGGGCGGGGATGTGGGTTGTGATCCCCGCGCTTCAGCTGCAAATGGAGACAGTTAAATTCCTGTCGGAGAGTGTTGTAGCCTCTAGACGAGGCAGGTTCATCTGCCCGCTTTGCAAAGCTGCACGCGGTTCCTAGTCCAGTAAGGAGACCTGGTCACTTGGTACTGACACCGCAGTCTGTGCCCCTGGAGCAGGAGCTCTCTGGCCGCAGGGGACAGTGATCAGGCCGGGGCAGGGCCAGAGGGGTGGCAGGAGCCTGCCCGGGACTTTACAGCCTCCTGGAGCTCGATTGGTTGGGGGGTTTGGGGGCAGGTTGGAGGGGTGCACCTCCAGGCAGGGTCCGGTGGCCAGGTGACGGGTCTGCATGGGGAGTGCACCTGTTGGAGCCAGCAGGAGACCCCTGGCCTGAGAGGGGCTGACTGGTGGCCAGGCCAGGCAGCTTAGAGGGCCACACTTGACCCTTGGGGCTCCGCCCAGGCCAGCGTCAGGAAGCTCTGGCTCTAAGGACCAGGGACTGAAGGAGGGAGGGGCGGAGGGACTGGGGAGGGAACAGCGCCTCCTCCCCATTCCCCAACTCTGGAAGGAGACACCATTTTCAGGGGTGACGTCGAGCCATTGATCTGGGCAGGCAGGTGAGATGTGTCCAGGGGAAGCCATCCTGTGCCCGACTTCCACTAAGAGGCCTTCCAGGACGGCTGGGGCCCCCTCTGGGCCCCTCGTCCCCGGTTCCATACCATCCACACCCATCACTCCGCGTGGCCGTGGTCCCACTTCTCTTCTCATTCCTGTTCGGGCTCCTCAAGAGACGCTGAGCTCCTGCAGGGCAGGTGGGTCTCAGTCACCTCTGTCCTCCAGCCTCACCCAGTCCAGTGCGGGGCACCAGGCAGGATCTGAGCGAGGGCTCGGCAAGATGGGGGAGGGGGTTAGTGCCTTGGAAGGAACCCGGCTTGCACTCTGCCTCCCCTTGGGCTTATCTTGGCACCCCAACACCTCTCTTCTATCTAGGGACTCCCTCTGCAGCCTCCCTCGTCACCCTCACCGGGTTCCAATGTGCTGGCCCCTGGCCCCTGCCTCTCCCTCCCGAGTCTCTGATCCTGGGTTCCGTTCTGAGTCCCGTCATCTTTGGCTCAGGATCCTGCTTAACTGGAGAGGAGAGATGGAGCCAGACAGACCAGGCGCAAGTCCCAGCTACACCCAAGAGCCTTTGGGTGTAGGAAACACCAGGGTCACACTGGCTTTATTATTACTTTAATGTGTTTTTATTGCCTTCAGAGAGGAAGGGAGAGGGACAGAGAGGCAGAAACATCGATGAGAGAGAATCATGATCGGCTGCCTCCTGCACACACCCTACTGGGGACCAAGCCCACAACCCAGGCATGTGCCCCTGACAGGGAATGGAACTGTGACCTCCTGGTTCCTAGGTCAACGCTCAACCACTGAGCCATGTCTGCCGGGCCATTCTGGCTTTAGAAAGAGGAGGATTTTATTGGCCGAAGGAACAGGGAAATGCAGGCATGGCCCTGCTTCAGGCCTGGTTGGAGAGAGGCCTCAAAGGGAGCTGGGTTGGGTCATCTCCCGGCCCCTCGCGGGGTCCTGCTCACCGCAGGCAGGCGGCTTTGTCTGCACACTAAACTGAAACCTCCTGGCTCAGGGGACCAGGAGCGTTGAAGCCACATGTCACGATGCTTCGGTTTTTGCCACAAGAGGGCAACCCGAGCTCAACCCTCACACCCCAGAAAGCGGGCAGCTCCGCTGCTGTTTGTCTGACCCAGTGGTTCTCAACCTTCTGGCCCTTTAAATACAGTCCCTCATGTTGTGACCCAACCATAACATTATTTTCGTTGCTACTTCATCACTGTAATGTTGCTACTGTTATGAATCGTCATGGAACTATCTGAGATGCAGGATGGTCTTAGGCGACCCCTGTGAAAGGGTCATTGGCCCGCCAAAGGGGTCGCGACCCACAGGTTGAGAACCGCTGGTCTGACCGAAGTCACAGTCCATGTTAGAAACCACGTGCGGGGGCCCCTTCACAACGTGCAGTTCAGAATAGAGAGAGACAAGCCCACATCAGTGTCACCAAACGCCCCCGGGACGTGGCCGGGGCGGCAGGAGGGCACCCACGGGCTGTGCTCCTGTGAGGGGGGCGCGCTGAGATGAGGTCCCCCTCCCCCAGGAGGGCCAGGGCGTCCACTCGCTGTGGCCTGGGCAGGTCACTGCCCCCTCTGGTTCCCTCACTCCCAACCTGCCTGGGAGAGGATGCGAAGACAATGAGGGTTACCCCAAGGGCAGCCTGGGGTGGGGTGCCCTGAGCTGTGAAGACCCCCTCCCAGCACCTGCCTTGGCCTTTAACAAGGACTAGAAGGAGATTCTGAATCACCTTTACATACAGTCACATGCCCTCTTCCTGTGACGCCGCCGGCCACAGGGCTCTGTTTAAAGCTGCAGACCACTCCCCAGGCCTGTCGGTGTGGCCCCTGAGCTAGGACGCCCGCCAGCGGCGGCTCTGCCCCGGGCCCGGCCGGCTCACTGCAGGAGGTGGACAGCCGCTGCCTTGCGCTTGAGCCGCTCAGTCAGGGGCGAGTTGGGCTTCAAGGCGTCCCGCTCCATCAGAAGGCTTCTGCAGACAGAGACGGGGCTGTTGGTGGAACCTTCTAGAAGGAGGTGGGGGCCCGATGGGTCGCTCAGCCCTGAGGCAGGACCCAGGCAGCTGGGCTGGGCTGACGTGGTCCGAGAGCAAGAAGCCCCCCTTCCCAGGCTGCGGGAGGGGGCAGCCTCGAGTTCTGGGCAGCCGGGGCCTGGGCCTGCCTGCCCTCTGCCTCCTGGCACCGGCCCAGTCAGAAAGGAGAACGGCACGGAGGCCTGAAGGGTCGGTAGGGGGCATCAGGTGGCAAAGGACGGTATCCGAGGCGGAGGGCACACACGTGCAAGGCCCAGGGGCCTGGGAGGCAGCCGTGTCTGGGCAACTCGCTCAGCGTGGCCGGAACGAGGAGGGACTGTGCCCGTCAGGATGACATGGCAACAGGGAGGACCAAGCAGCGGAGCCTGGTGTCTGCGTAACCTCAAAGCTGGGAGCCGCCCCAGCCCAGGGAGGTGGGGCCGCTGAGCATCCGGACGCCCCGGGGAGACCCCGTGTGGGAGCCGTGGCCTGAGACCCCGAGGAACTCACCGGGCCACGTTCCTGTGGGGGCCCGAGGTGCACTGCAGGGCCGCGTGGATCAGCAGCTGGCTGAAGACGTCTCTCTGCAAGGTCACGGGCAGGTCAGGCTCCCGGACGTGGGTGAGGGAGGGCACCCCCTCCGGAAGGCCACCCGCTCCCAGGACGGGCTGGGGGCGAGGAGGTCAGGACGCCCCACGCTGTGGGCTCCGTCCCTCGGAGCCGGGCGGGCGGCGGGCTCACCTGCGCGTTGCTGCCCCCGATCTGGACGAGGCGGTAGCGGACGGGCAGCAGGAGCTCCAGGACGCGGTCGGGGTTCCCGCGCTCGGCCTCCACCAGAGCCTGGCACAGGGGCATCCCCACGTCGCGGGCCAGGCGGTGCTGGCAGTTCTCCCCGGGGGACCTGCCGCGAAGGTGCCGTCAGGGGCCTGCCCGTCACAGCGCAGCTCTGTCCCTGCTCAGCCCGTGGCCCTGGCCCCGAGCGTACAGGCCGCTCCCCGTCGCTGGGCACCTCGCCTGGCGGAGGGCAGGGCAAGTGGCTGTGGTGGTGACCAGCTCAAGGGTGGCCAAGGTCCCCCTCCACCGGGCCTCAGGACAGACCACAGGGGGCACATACCCGCCCCCCGGCTAGAGCCTCCCGGTGGAGGCCCGGCTGCCTCTCCAGGACCCAACGCAGAGGCCCCGCCTCCCAGGCTCCCTCTGGCCTCCACGGTGATGGGCAGTGGCCCCACCGGTGCCAGGAACCTGCACGAGGCGCGTCGCTGTCCCACCGCCTGCCTCAGCAGCACTGTCCCCGGTTTGCACACGGGGAAACTGAGGCTCGGGAAAAAGAAGTGCTTCGGGGACTCCACCACATCCCTGGGGGAGGCTGCCTGTCTGACAGGGGGCTCTCCCACCCACCCAGGGCTGCCCACCTGGAGGATGGAGGGTGCCCACCTGGGCTCACAGCTGGGAGCAGCCCTGATGCATCCCCACGGCCCCCACTGGGGTGCTCACAACGGGACCCCACCCTGGCCTCCCCGCACAGAGGCGCCCGGAGCCCTGGCCCCCGCGTACTCGCTGGCCTCCTGCAGGGTGGTCAGCAGCTCCTGCGTGGTCTGGGCGTCCCCCGCACCCAGGGACGCCATCAGGAAGTGGACGTCGTTGAACAGCAGGATGTGGTCGCGGCTGTGCTCCCGGGTCACGGGCAGGACATCCCGCCACCGCTCGCCCACAGACACCCCTAGGACGCGGGGAGGAAACCGCCGCAGGCGTGAGGCTCCTGTGTCCGGGTCCCGCACCCACACGTGGGGCCCTGGGACCCTGCTCCGGGGAGGAAGGCCAATATTGCTAGTCCCTGCTTCCAACCCTCTCGCCAGCACCACACCCTCCTGTCCTCCGCCCCCTGGGGCTGCGGGGTCTCCCCTTCTCCCAGGCACCTCGGTAACCAGGGATGTTGCCCTGGGCAACTCGGGACCTGGCTGCGCGTCTCCACTCTGAGCGTGAGGGATGAGCGGCTGCGCCTCCCCGCAGCCTTCCAGATGCCCTCGCCCTGCCCCCGACCGTTCTGGACGGTTTTGGTGGCAAGGGACACAGGCCTCCCCTAGACTAGGTTGCAGGGTCCCAGCCTTGCCCCCAGGACAGCCAGGAGGCAGCCTCTGCAGGGGTCCGCTCCCTCCCGACCCCCAGGGCCCCTCAAGGACCTCCCCACCTCCTCGCTGTTCCCTCCCTCCGCCTCCTCCCCCTTCCTCAGCCTCTGGCCTCAGCTTCCCCTGGCTCAGCCCCCACGGCTCAGAGGCTCCTTCTCAAAGGCGGACTGGAGCCCGGCTGGTGCGGCTCAGTGGTTGAGCACCGACCCAGGAACCGAGAGGTCACCGTTTGACTCCCAGCCGGGGCGGATGCCCTGGTTGCAGGCTGGGTCCCCAGTGGGGGGCGTGCAGGATCGGTGATGTTTCCCTCTCATCGATGTTTCTTTCCCTCTATGCCTCGCCCCTCCCTCTCTCTAAAAATCAATAAAAATATTAAAAATGACTAAGTAAAGGCAGAGCGGAGCCGTCCGTCCCTGCCCAGCGGCCCCTCTGAGGCCGAGGGAGGCCAGCTCCTCACTGGCCCGTGGCTGCGGCCTCCGTGCCGGGGGCTTTGGAGAGCTGCTCTCTGCCTGGACCACCGTCCCCGTCTCTGCCTGGCAAGCCCTGCCTCTCTCTAAAAATCAATAAAAATATTAAAAATGACTAAGTAAAGGCAGAGCGGAGCCGTCCGTCCCTGCCCAGCGGCCCCTCTGAGGCCGAGGGAGGCCAGCTCCTCACTGGCCCGTGGCTGCGGCCTCCGTGCCGGGGGCTTTGGAGAGCTGCTCTCTGCCTGGACCACCGTCCCCGTCTCTGCCTGGCAAGCCCTGCACACCCTCTCCCAGGGTCGGGAGGGGCCCAGGCCGGCTCTGCTGGGCCTGGGAGGAGGAGGACCATCCGGGTGCAGAGCTGGCCGGGAGCCTCTGTCGCCCCAGAGCTGAGGCCAGCCCCGCCCAGCTCCCTGCAGAGCGTGGGTGACTGTGGAGAAACCGCTCTGAGCCCCAGGGGGCTGAGGACTCTCCCTTCCCTTGTTCTAGAAAAGGTGGCAGCCCAGAGACAGGCGGCCAGGTGCCAGCTGTGCTGCAGGCCTGGTGGGCAGGCTGTGGGGAGCGCAGGTGCCACCCTGGGCACAGGGCCCGAGGCCT